ATGGGATGGGATGGGATGGGGATGGGGATGGGATGGGATGGGATGGGGATGGGGATGGGAAGGATTTGGGGAGCCCTGAGGGAGGGATCTGGGGAGCAGCAGGACACTGATGTCCCTCACCAGTACATTGATGTTCTCCTTCTGATTGAGCAGCGACCGAACCTCCTCCACATCCCGGTTGAAGATGGCTTGGACCAGAGGGGGCTGCAAGGGACAGGGGGAGAGTGGTGACAATGACAGGGGACACAACTGCAGCACCTCCATCACCCCAGCCAGCCCCTGGACTGATTTTCCAGCCAGCACAGGGTTTTTTTTTTTCCTGGTTCTTCCTCGATAATCTGGGAATTTTGGGGAAATCCTTCCCCAGGGGAACAGCAGCTCCAGCTCCTGCCACCCGAAATTTGGGCACAGCACAAAACCCCTCCAGGACAGCAACGATCCCTGAACCCCCTTCCTTGTTCAAAGACCTAAAAATTCCATTTTCCTGCAGAAAAATCAGGGGCAGAGCTGCCCTTGGGGTGCTCAGCACCCCCTGATCGCTGCCACACCCCACACAGCCCCACTGAGGCTTTTTGGGATGGAGGGATTTGGGTGCTGTGACCCCCCCCAAGCTCTTCTCACCCCCCAAGGCTGGATTTAAAGCTCAAAACCACCGAATTTCGCTTTTTTTCAGCCTCTCCAAGCTCTGTCTGGCTGTGACCCCTTCCCAGCCCTGCCTCATCCCAAAATCAGGGCACTTCCAAGCCCGGGAACACATCCTGGGTCAGGGCAAGGCTGTGTCATCCCCCTGGAATGCAGCGGCATCACTTGTTAAGATGCTTTAAAAAAAAAAAAAAAAAAAAAAGAAAAAAGGGGTTTTTTTTCACAAAAGAAATATTTTGGGAAAGGCTGGAAAACACCAATGGTGCCCCAAAAGGCTCCAGGTCTGGCACATGGGAGAAGGGAGTGGTTGGGGTATCCCAAAAAAATAAAGTTTTGTTTAAATCAGGGGCTGATCCCCTCTTTCTTCATCCCCTTCCAACCCCAAATTCCCCCTTTTTTCATCCCCCTCGCCCCCAGCTCCTCCCAGGGCTCTAAAATCCATCCCTGGATTAAGGGCAGGAGCAGAAGCAGGGCTTGGTGTGGGGCTGGGGGGCCCTGGCAGCCCCTGACCCCAAAATCCAGGGGACAAAAGGGGGAAATCTGTGGGGAAAAGGGGGTGTGAGCCCAGGTGACCCCAAGGTCACAGCTCTGGGGACAGCACAGCCTTGGGAGGGGTGTCCCCAAAACCTGAACCCCAGATATGTCCCTAAAATATGACAGGGACACTCTGCACCCCAAGAGTGTCCCCAAAACCTAATGGAAGCATTCTGAACCCTAGATTTGTCCCCAAAACCCAAGGAGGACACCCTGCACCCCAAAAAAGTCCCCAGACCACAGCAGGGAACCCAAGAGCATCCCCAGATCCTAATGGGGACATCCTGAACCCCAAATGTGTCCCTAAAACACGATAGGGACACTCTGCACCCCAGGAGTGTCCCCAAAACCTGACGGGGACACTCTGTACCCCAAAGATACCCCCAAAACTCGACAGTGACACCCTGCACCCCAAAGGTATCCCCAAAACCTGACGGGGACCCAAAAGCATCCTCAAAACATAGTAGGGACACTCTGCACCCCAGGGGTACCCCCAAAACTCGATGGGCACACTCTGCACCTCAGAGGTGTCCCCAAAACTTCACAGGGACACCCTGCACCCCAGAAGTGTCCCAAAAACCGATGGGGACAACCTGCAAGCCAGCAGCGTCCCCAAAACCCGACAGGGACACCGTGCACACCAGGGGTACCCCCAAAACTCGACGGGGACACTCTGCAAACCAGGGCCACCCCAAAACCTGATGGGGACACTCTGCACACCAAGGGTACCCCAAAATCTCAGTGGGGACATCCTGCCGTCCCAAAAACTCCATGAGAACACCCGGCACCCCAAGAGTGTCCCCAAAACCTCTCTGAGGCCGCCCTGCACCCCAGGGGTACCCCCAAAACCCAGGACCCGCTGGGGGGACAGAAGGAATCACAGCAGGGCCAGGTCCCGTCCCGGGGGTCCCGGGGGTCCCCCCTTGATCCTCCAAACTCCCTGATCCAGGAGGTCTCGATCCTGGGGTCCTCCCATTCCCGGGTTTCTCTCATTCCCGGGGTTCTCCCATTCCCGGGGTTCTGCCATTCCCGGGGTTCTGTCATTCCCGGGTTTCTCTCATTCCCGGGGTTCTCCCATTCCCGGGGTTCTCCCATTCCCGGGGTTCTGTCATTCCCGGGGTTCTCTCTCTCCTGGGGTTCTGTCATTCCCGGCCTAGGTGTCCCAACCCCAGGAAGGGATCTGATCTCCCGATCCCGGGATGTCCCATCCCTGCAGGCTTCGTCCTTCCCGATCCAGGTGTCCCATTCCCGGGATTCTCCCGTTCCAGGCCGGGGGGATCCCGTTCCTGGGGTTCTGCCATTCCCGGGGTTCTCCTGCTCCCGATCCAGGTGTCCCAACCCCGGGGGTTCTGCTGCTCCCGGTCCACGGGGCCCGTCCCGGGGGCTCTCCCGTTCCCGGACCGGGATTCTCCCATTCCCGGGATTCTCCCGCTCCCGATCCAGGAGGTCCCATGGCGGGGGCTCCGCCGTTCCTGGCCGGGGGGGTTTCAGGCCCGGGATCCCCCCTCGATGCTCCGCGGTCCCCGGGCAGGGAGGTCCCTCCCGAGGGTCCCGTGCCCAGGGCCGGGGGTCCCGTTCCCGGGATTCTGCCATTCCCCACGCAGGTGTCCCAGCCCCAGGGTTCTGCCGTTCCTGGGCCGGGATGACACATCCCGGGGGCACCGCCGTTCCCGGTTCAGGGGGCCCCACTCCCGGGGCTCTCCCGGGGCACGATCCCTCTTTGATGATTCACGTTCCCGGCCCAGGCAACCTCGGGGCTCTCCCGTTGCCGGTTCAGGGGTCCCATCCCCGGGGCTCTCCGGTTCCCGGTTCAGGGGGTCCCTCCCGAGGGTCCCGTCCCCGGGGGCCCCGCCGTTCCCGGTTCAGAGGGTCCCTCCCGAGGGTCCCATCCCCGGGGCTCTCCCTCTCCCGCCCCAGGCGCTCCCATTCCCGGCGCTCTCCCGTTCCCGGCCCGGGCCGTCCCGGCCGCGCTGGGCCCGGCGGGCGCGGGCGGAGCGGGTGCGAGCGGCGACCCCCGCCCGTTTCGGGGCTGCGGCGGGGCCGGGCTGGGCGGGGAGGGCTCGGCGGAGCGGGGCCCGCGGCCTGGGGCGGCGCCGGGCCGGGCCCGGTGGCGGAGCCGCGCTAGGCCGCACATCCCCGGGCTGCCGTAGCGGCGAGGCCCGGGCGCGGCGCGGCGCCGGCGGCGAGCGGGAGCGGGGAAGGAGAGGACGGGGCGGCGGCCGTACCTGGTCCGTGATGCTGAGAACCCCCATGTCGGGGCCGCCCTCAGCGCCCAGCTCCCGGCATCGGGTCCGGCCGCGGCGGCTCCGCTCGGGCGGCTGCGGGGCGGGGATGGAGCGCCGGGGATGCGCCGCCCACCGCCCCGGAGCGCCGCCGCCGACGGGGGCAGCGGCAGCGGGGGGCGGCCCGCGGGCAGCGGCATCGCCGCGGCGGGGCGGGGGCCGCGGGCGGAGGGGCCGGCGGGCACCGGGAGCGGTGACCCCACGGGCGGCGGGGGTCCCGGGGGTCGCTGGTCTGACCCTCTCTGGGGTCTCCCCGGTGGGGGATCAGAGCCACGAGCGGCTGGCGGTAGTCCCGGAGGGTCCCGGGAGAGCGGCTGCCCCAGGCTGAAAGGTGGTGAGGTGATGGGAGAGGGTCCCGGGGGTCATCCATGTGCTGCTTCCCTCTGTGGGGTCTGTCCGGTGGGAATCCCATCCTCCGGTGGTCCTGGGGGTCCCGAGGGGTCCCTGACCAGCGGCTCCCGCAGCCCAAAGGGCGCTGGGACACTGGGAGAGGGTCCCAGGGGTGTCCGTGTGCTGTTCTGTGGGATCTGTCGGATGGAAATCCCGTCCTTGGGTGGCTGCCGGTGCTCCCAGGGGTCCCACGTAGTGGCTTCTCCATCCCAAAAGGTGCTGGAATGGTGGGAGAGGGTCCCGGGGGTCCCTGTGTGCCACCTTCATCCCACTCTGTGGGGTCTCTCCAGAGTGAATCCCATCCCCAGCTGGTCCTGGGGGTCCCGGGGGTCCCTGAGCAGCGACCGCCCCGATCCAAACCCATCCCGTGACCTCCGGGCAGGGGTCCCGGGGTTCAGGGGGATCACGGGCCCGGGTGCAGCTCCTGGCTCCCCCCGCGGCTCCGAGCAGTGCCAGGCCTGCACTCCCAGCTTGGGAATTGTGTTCGAGCTGGGAATTGGTGATTCCCGGCCCTGTGTTGGCTGAACTGGATCGTGCTGGGCTGTACTGGGCTGTGCTGGGTAGGACTGGTTGGCACTGGGTAGTTCTGGGCTGCACTGGGAGGCCCTGGGCTGTACTGGGCTGTACTGGGCTATACTGGGCGGCACAGTTCTCGCAGCCATGGTGAATTCCCGGTCTCTCGGTTCCTCTGCTCAGTTCGGAGCGGGGCCGGTACCGGGACACGACACCGGGGGCTCCCCGTCCCTCTCCGGACCGATGGACCTCGGGCACACGTGGGAGGCGGGGCCGGGAGCCCCCTGGGCCTGAGCCCATCCCCGGTAGCCCCGGGTGGGGCAGTCCCGGTTGGATCCCGGTTGGATCCCGGTCTCAAGGCAGCTGTAGTGCCGGCCCGGACTACATTTCCCATAGTGCCCCGCGCACCCTCCGACTACAACTCCCATCGTTCTTCGCTCAGGGGGCGTTGCCCCGCCCCGCCCCGTGACGTACCCGGCGCTATGGCGACGTGGTGACGTCACGAGGTGAAAGGTCACGGCGGCGGCGCCGCGTCCCGGCCCGGTCCCGGTTCCGGCCCGGCCCCGGTTCCGGCCCCGTCATGGCGGCCCGGCGGCTCCGCGGCGCCCTCCAGCTCGGGGCGCGGCAGCGCCTGCGGGCCGCGGCGGCCCCGCCCGGCAGGTGAGCGGCGGCGGCCCCGCGGGGCGGCGGCCCCCGGGCGGGCGGGGCCCGGAGGTCACACCGGCCCCGGGGGCACCGGGGCGGGCCCCGGGAGGCGATTGTGCTGTGGCGGCTCCTCCGGGCCTGCCTGCGCTCCCGGTTACCCCGGGCTGGGCTGGCCCGAGGGCACCTTGGCGAGCCCGGGGGGTCCCGGCGGGGCTGGCCCGGGGGTCCCGGCGCTGCGGGGTCGGGGATCTCGGTGGTGCCGCTGTCCCGGTTACCGTAGAAGGTCCCTGGGTAGGGAACACTCGCTGGGGGCGTCTGACCTTGGAGCAAACCCGCGTGGGGACACCGGGACCGGGCCGGTGTCGCCCCCGCCCGTGGGGTCGCGAGGGACCCGAGCCCCGTCGGGGGTCGGGAGCCGGTGCCACCGAGCCCCGGGCGAGGGGACAGTCCCGAGGCCACCCGGCCGTGTCCCCACGGCTGTGACCTCTGCTTGGGGACAGGGACACGGGAACAGGACCGGGACCGACCGCCCCCGGTGACTCCGGGGGTGACAATTCCCGTGGGGACGGGGGGATGTCCCCTCCCCCTGTTGTCCCTCCTGGAGCGACACCGGAGGGATGGGACGGGGCAGAGCGGGACACGGGGCAGGAGCGGCGCCGGGGGGGCCCGGGGGGCACCGGGCAGTTGTTCCTGCCTGGATTAGGTGTCCCCAAGGTCGGGTTTCCCGGCCTTCCTCCTCCTCCTCCTCCTGCCAGCAGCAGCCCTGGCATCAGCCCTGGCACCAGCCCGGCCGTGGGCACCGGCCCAGACGCCCCAAGGGGGGATTCCCGTCCCGGGAGGGGCCCGGGAAAAGGACCTGGAGTGGCCAGGAAGGGACGTGGACTGATCAGAAAGTGACCCAGGCCTGTCTGGAAGGGGCTTGGGAAGGGACCTGGAAGTTCAGGGAGGGGCCTGGGCCGGTCTGGAAAGAGCCTGAGCTGGTCTGGAAGGGACCTGGAGAGGTCTGGAAGCGTCCTGGGCTGGTCTGGAAGGGACCTGGATTCATCTGGAATCGTCCTGGGCTGGTGTGGAAAGGACCAGGGAAGGACTGGAAGGGTCCTGGGCTGGTCCAGAGGAACCTGGTCCTGTCTGGAAAGGACCTGGAGAGGTCTGGAAAGAGCCTGAGCTGGTCTGGAAGGGACCTGGACTCATCTGGAAGGGTCCTGGGCTGGTCTGGAAGGGACCTGGATTGGTTGGGAAGGGACCTGGGCCAGTCCAGGAAGGACTGGAAGGGATCTGAGCTGATCGGGAAGGGACCAGCCAGGTGGGAATGGGCTTGGGATGGTCTGGAGGGGCCCGTGAGGCTCTGAAAGGGACCTGGGGAGCTCGGGGGGGATTTGGGAAGGGTCCCTGTCCCCCGGGAAGGGCCCGGCACGGCCCGGTACTGCTGGTGACAGCGCCCGTGTCCCCCCAGGCACACGGCCCTGTGCGGCCTCCGGCTCGCCCGCCTGGGCCGGCCGGTCCCGGTGGCCGCGGAGCCGCGAGCCCAGCCCAGCCGGGGCTTCCTGAACCTCACCAACAAGCGCAAGGAGTACTCGGAGCGCCGCATCATCGGGTGGGTGATGCTGGGACCCCCAGCCCGGCCCTGAGCCCCAGTCTGAGCCTGAGCCGGCCCCAGGCCCGGCCCTAAGCCCAATCCCAGCCCTGACCCTGACCCCGACTCCAGCCCCAGCCCCAACCTTGGCCTTAGCCCCAGTTCCAGCCCCAACCTTCATCTTAATCCCAGTTCCAGCACCAACCCCAGCCTTGATCTTAACCCCAGTTCCAACACCAGCCTCAACCTTGATCTTAACCCCAGTTCCAACCCCAGCCCCAACCTTGGCCCCAGCCCCAACCCCTACTCAACCCCAGCCTCGGCTCCAACCCTGACCTTAAGCACAGCTCCAACCTTGCTCCTGACCCCAATCCCGACCCCAACCCCGTCTGTGTGCACAGGTACTCCATGCAGGAGATGTATGATGTGGTGGCCAACGTGGAGGACTACAAGAACTTCGTGCCCTGGTGCAAGAAGTCCGTGGTGGTGTCGCGGCGCGCCGGCCACGTCAAGGCCCAGCTGGAGGTTGGGTTCCCACCCGTGCTGGAGCGTTACACGTCCATTGTCACCCTGGTGCAGCCACACCTCGTCAAGGTGAGCAGCGAGCTCAGGCTGGATGCCAGGGAAGGGTCTGGAGAAGTCCTGAGGGAGCTGGGAAAGGGGCTCAGCCTGGAGAAAAGGAGGCTCAGGAGGGACCTTTTCACCCCACAAATCCCCGAGGGGAGAGCAGAGCTGGGTGGGGTCGGGCTCTGCTCCCAGGGGACACCAGGAGAAGGGAAAACAGCCTCAAGTCGATCCAGGGGAGGTTCACGTTGGAATTTCCCATGGAAAGGGCTGTCAGGCCTTGGAACTGCCCAGGGAAGTTTGGAGTCCCCATCCCTGGAGGTGTCCAGGGAGGGACTGGATGTGGCACTCTGGGGATCCCAGCTTGGACTGGATCCAGGGAGCTTTTCAAGGATTCTGTGATGGCTCCCGAGCCCTCTGACCCCTTCTTTTCCCCTCCCCAGGCCGTCTGCACCGACGGGCGCCTCTTCAACCACCTGGAGACCAACTGGCGCTTCAGCCCCGGCATCCCCGGCTACCCCCGCACCAGCACCGTGGATTTCTCGGTACGACCCCGCCCCGGGTCCCCCCGGGGAGGGCGGGGCTCACCTGCCAGGGCTCACCTCTCCTCCTCCTCCTCCTCCTGCCCAGATCTCCTTCGAGTTCCGCTCCCTGCTGCACTCCCAGCTGGCCACCATGTTCTTCGACGAGGTGGTCAAGCAGATGGTGGCCGCCTTCGAGCGCCGCGCGGCCAAGAACTTCGGGCCCGAGACCCGCATCCCCCGGGAGCTCATGTTCCACGAGGTCCACCAGACGTGAGGGTGGCCGGGCCGGGCACCCCCGGACTGTGCCGGGCCCGCCCCGAGCCCACCCCCCAAAATATTTATTCAAGTGCGTTTCCGCTGCTGTTGCCTCAACGCCCCCCGGGGCTGCCGTGAGCCCCCGGTGCCAGGAGCTGCGTCCCGGCGCTGGACTCCCTGGAGTTGTAGCTGATTTGGGGGTTTAACTTTTGTTTTAGTTCTTGTTTTGGTTTGTTGTTTTGGTTTTTTTCTTTTTTTTTTTTGGTTGGGTTTCTTTTTCTTTTTTTTTTTTTTTTAAACTCTTTTTTTTTTTTTTTTTTTGTTCTTTTGAAACTCCTCGGCCAGGCCGGAGGGCCCCGGCGGGGGCAGCTCCGGTGCCTGGGCCCCGCCGTGCTCCGGGAGAACGGGAGGAACGGGGAGTTTGTTGTGGGGAGGGGGGGTGGAAGCTGCTGGGACCCCCCCCAATTCCTCCCCAGCTCTTCCAGGAACAAAAGGGAAGGAGCCGGCGCAGGGAGGAGCCCCCCGAGCCCCCCCACCCCGATGTCGCACACTTTGCACAAGCCACACGCACAGGGTGGGGAGGGGGCGGCTCCCGCTGCCCCCCCCCCGCCGCCCCCACCCCCAGCACCCTCCGCAGGGACCCCCACGGTCCCGACCCCACCCCCCCAGCGGCCCCCCCCGGTTCCTCACCTGTGGCAGGGGGATGGGAAGGCCTCGGTTCCCCCCTCGCCGGGGGTGTGAGGGGCTCCCCGAGCCCCCCCCGAGCCCGCCCTGGCCGTGCTGGCCGAGCAGGAAGGGCTTGGACAGGCCAATAAAGAGCATTTTCCAAGGGTCAGCAGCCTCCTGGTCCTCATTCAGCCACGGGAGGGGGGATTGGTTGGGGGGCGGGGGGGGCTGCATGCTGAGACCCCTGACCCAAACCAGGCTGGTTGTGCCTCCACCACTGAGGGACCCCATGGTGGGGTGGGGGCACCATCCCCTGACCCCCCCCCCTCCCTAAACCACACCCAGGGAAGGGAGGGGGAGGCAGGGGTGTTTGTTAATAAAAACATTTATTTTGCATTTTTGTTGTTGTTTGTACAGAAGTGCCCGAGAGCTGCGAGGAGCCGGGGTGGGGGCCTGGGGGTGGGGTCCCAGCTCTGGCTCCCGGGGGCTTCAGGCAGGGGGGAAGGGGGGGTCACACAAACACAGGGGCGCGGCCGGGGAGGAGTGTATCGAGTCCCTGCGGGGGGGCCCGGACACGGGGCAGGACTGAACCCCTCTCGGGGGGCTGCAGGGGAGGGGGCTGTGCCCCCCAGGGCCCTGCCAGGACCCCCCACCCCAGCCCAGCAGTGTGGGGAGCCTGGGGGGGCTCCCAGTGTGCGCAGTGAGAGCTGCTGGGGTGGGGAGGGGGCACCGGAGCCCCCCCACCCCACCAGGGTAGGGGCTCTGGGTGTGGGGCTGGGGTGGGGGGGGGGGACCCCGGGGCTGCCTCTGCCCCTCCCCAAGGCGGGTGGGAGGGCAGGGGGAGCGGCCGGGGGGGCCCCGAGGGGGGTTCAGTGCCGAGGGCGTCCGGGCCGGGCCCGGCAGCGCGGCGTTCCCTGGGGGAGCCCTGTCCCCGTCCCTTCTTTACCCGGATTTGTAGCCCACGAGCTGCATGAGGCCCTTGGTGCTCATGGATTTGGGCCTCTCCAGAGGGAATCCCAGCGCCCGGCTCCAGATGAGCTGAGACAGGACACCCAGGGCCCGCGACACCCCGAACAGCACCGTGTAGTAATTCATCTCCTTCATGCCGTAGTACTGCGGGGACAGGGGGCTCAGCACGGCCAGGGCACAGCCAGGAGCCCCCCAGGACAGACGGGACAGGGAGAGGGACAAACGGACAGGGAGAGGGAAAGGCCAACAGGGTGAGGGACGGACGGATGGATGGATGGATGGACGGACGGATGAATGGATGGGGAGAGGAACCCGCAGGCTGGCAGAGGGAGGGATGGGACAGGGAAAGAGATGGACGGGACAGGGAGAGGGACACAGAGAAAGGGACAGACAGGACAGGGTCAGGGACACACAGACAGGAAGGAGAACAGAGAGAGGGACAGACAGGACAGGGTCAGGGACACACAGACGGGAAGGAGAACAGAGAGAGGGACAGACAGGACAGGGAGAGCACAGACAAACAGCGAGAGGGATACACAGACAGGAGACACAGACAGGACAGGCAGAGGGACGTGGACACGGAAAGCAATACACGGGCAGGGAAAAGGACAGACCAACAGGGGAAGGGACAGACAGGACACAGCCCGGGAAAGGACAGAGGAGCCTGGGCTCACCTGCAGCAGGACCCCGCTGTGGGCATCCACGTTGGGCCAGGGGTTCTTGGCCTTGCCCTGCTCCAGCAGCACGTTGGGGACGATCTTGTAGAGCTGTGCCACGAGCTTGAACAGGGGGTCCTTGGGCAGGTGCTTGAGGGCGAACTCCCTCTGGCAGGTGTAGCGCGGGTCCGTCTTCCGCAGCACCGCGTGCCCATAGCCTGGCACAACCTGCAGGGCCGGGGGGCTCAGCCTGCTCCTGACCCCCAGCACGGCCCTGGAACAGCCCCTGACCCCCAGCACGGCCCTGGAACAGCCCCTGAGCCCCAGCACGGCCCTGGAACAGCCCCTGAGCCCTGGAACAGCTCCTGAGCCCCAGCACGGCCCTGGAACAGCCCCTGAGCCCTGGAACAGCCCCTGACCCCCAGCACGGCCCTGGAACAGCCCCTGAGCCCTGGAACAGCGCCTGACCCCCAGCACGGCCCTGGAACAGCCCCTGAGCCCTGGAACAGCCCCTGAGCCCCAGCACGGCCCTGGAACAGCCCCTGAGCCCTGGAACAGCCCCTGAGCCCCAGCACAGCCCCGAGCCTCACCCTGCCCGAGTTGAGCGTGTTCCAGATGAAATCCCTCAGCTTCTCGTCCGACACGTCCTGGCCCAGCTCCTTCTGCAGGTCAGTGAGCCAGAGCAGCACCTCCTGTGGGAACGGCCAGAGTGAGGCCAGGGGCACGGGGAGATGGACAGGAGAGGGACAGAGGGACACATGGATAGGGAGAGGGACAGATGGATGGGGAAAAGGACAGAGGGACATGTGGATGGGGAGAGGGACAGATGGATGGGGAAAGGGACAAACCAACAGGGAGAGGGACAGGCAGGGAGAGTGACACATGGAGAGGAGGAGGGACAGACAGGACAGGGAGAGAAACACATGGAAAGGAAAACAGACTGGAGACAGGAGGTGGGGCCACACAGACAGGAAGAGGGACATGGGCAGGGAGAGTGACAGGACAGGGATGGGGACACACAGACAAGAGGGACAGACCGAGAGAGAGAGACAGGGAGAGGGACATGGGCAGAGTGACAAGGAGAGGGACAGACAGACAGGAGAGGGATACACTGGACAGGGAGCAGTGCCCACCTGGTTGGCGAGGCCGTGCAGGGGCCCGGCCAGCCCGTTCATGGCGGCGGCAAAGGCGAGGTATGGGTCAGACAAGGCGCTGCCCACGAGGTGGCTCGTGTGGGCACTCACGTTCCCTCCCTCGTGGTCACTACGGGGGCGAGGGGGCCATCAGGATTTCCTCAGCCCCACCAAACGCCTTCCACGGCATTTTGGGGGCAGGGAGTACAATGTTGCCAGCCCGGCTCAGCCCCGCCCCAGCCCTGCCCGCTCCCGGGGACACTCCCGGAGCAGCCCGGGCAGGTCCCAGCCCTGGGCTTGGGAGCGGGGCCAAATCCCCGCCTCCTCCACGTCCCCACCTGTGGATGGTGAGGTAGAGCCGCATCAGCTCGATGAACTGGGGGTCAGTGTAGCCCAGCATGTTGGTGAAGTTGTGGGACCAGTCGAGGTTGGGGTCGATGGCCCCGATGCCGCTGCCCTCGCGGTAAAGGTTCCGGTAGATCTTGGCGGCCACGCACGGCAGCTTGGCGATCAGGTCCATGGCGTCCTCGTACACAAACTGGGACCAGCGGGGTGAGACCGTGCTCCCCCGAGCCCCTGCCCCCAAATCCAGCCCCCAAAGTCAGCGCTGGGGCGGCAGCTCCCCCCGTACCTCCCAGTACTTGGCGCGGTGGATGCCCTCGGCGTAGGCGCGGGCGAATTTGCTCTCGCTGTTGAGGGCGGTGACGGCGGCGCTCAGCTGCGACATGGGGTGCAGGTTGGTGGGGAAGTTGTCCAGCATGGTCACCACGTGGGAGGGCAGAGCTGCACGCTTGGCCCACTCCCGGGACAGCCAGGTCACCTGTGGGGACACACCGGGGCTGAGCTGCGGGGCTGGGGGCTGCCAGACCCCCCCCTCAGCTGTTTGCCAGCTCTCTCCTGGCACTACCTGCTCCTGGGTCGGGATTTCTCCGGTCACCAGCAGCCAGAAGAGCCCCTCGGGCAGTGGCTCCTCTCCCCCTGCAGCTTTGGGCAGCTTCTTCTGGCACTCGGGAATGCTGTAGCCACGGAAGCGAATGCCCTGTGGAGCCGGGAGCATCAGTGGGGCTGGGGTGGGACAGGGTGGGGTGGGACAGGGTGGGACACGGCCCTACCTCATCAGGATCCAGCACGGAGGTCTCGTAGATCAGCCCTTTCATGCCCCTCATGCCGCCGTACACCTGGAAGGGGCCGGGAGGCCGCGGTGAGGGGCGCGGGCGGGGCCCGGTGGCCCCGGCGCGGCCGCGGTGGCCGCACACTCACCATGTCCACCGTGATCTGCCCGATGGCCGTGCTGCCGTGCTGCTGCCGGAAGCTCTTGATCTTCGCCTGCTCCTTGGGGATCATGGTGGCCAGGACGTCTTTGAGGTTCTGGGGACAAGGGAGCGTGATGTGAGAGGGGAAATGAGAAAAGGGTGTGACAACCGAGAGGGTGACAGGAGAGATGAGGCAGGAGAGGGAGTGACACGAGAGAGGGAAAGAGGAGAGCCTTTGTCACCCCTTGGAAAACAGCGATGGGAAAGGGGGTGACAAAAGAGGTGGGGAAAGGAAAAGGGGGTCACAACAGGGGACAGGAAAGGGGGTGACAGGAGAGGGGGTGATGGGAGAGGTTCCCCCCCTTGAAGAGGGGTGACAAGAGAGGGGGTGACAGGAAAGGGGGTGACAGAAAAGGGAGCTCCCATTGGAGAAGAGTGACAGGACAGGGTGACAGAAGAGGGGGTGACAAGAGAGCCGGGGACAGGAAAGGAGATAACAGGAGAAAGGCTTCCCCTTGGAGAGGAGTCTCAGGGAAGAGGTGTCAGAGAGGTCACAGGTGACAGGACAGGGGTCACAGGAGAGGACCCTCCTTACCGTGGCGGCGCTGGCGTGGCGAGCAGCGAAGAGGACACACGGTGCATTCTGTGGGACAACACAGAGACCCCCTGTCACCAGGGCAGGGCCTCTTTTTGGGGGGTGCAGCCACAAGAGAGCCCCTCCAGCGCCCTGGCAGGAGCTGAGACCCCGGTTCCCAGGGACGTGCCCGGCAGAGCCGCTTCCCTCGCCCACGCGGGCGCGGATCAGAGCCGGGATCAGAGCCGGGTTTAGAGCCGGGATCAGCCGGGCCGGCCCCGCGCTGCCCTGGAGGCCGGACCCGGACCTGGCACGGGGAACGCGGCCGCGTTCTCCTCCCTGGAGCAGAGCCCGGCCAGGCACGGCCGCGGTTTTCCTGAGCTGGGGAATCCGAACTTTGTTCCTCGCCCACGCGTGGGAACCGGGAACCGCGGGGACTCCGTCCGGCGGGGACACCCCGGGAACACCCCGGGCCTGGCAGCGCTCGGCCACGGGGACACCGCGCTGGCTCCGCCGGGCAACGGGGGCTGGGGGACACCGGGGGACACCGGGGGACACCGGGGGACACCGGGGGACACCGGAGCACAGCGGGGCTGCCGTGCACAGGCACAGCCGGAGGTTCCCTGGGGCCGGGAGCTGCAGCAGCGCCTGCGGCAGAGCCAGAACATGACTCGGTTTTTCCGCTGGCTGCCGGGAGGACGCGGGGGGGCCGCGCTGCAGAGAACCCCCCCGGGTGTCCCCCAGCCCCCCGCCAGCCCCCGGCCCGGCCAGGGGGTCCCCGGTACAGCGGGTGTGGCCGTGGCGGGTGGCGAGGCCGTGTCCCCCCGCAACAGGCGGCTCCGGGAAGCGAAAATGCCGGCGGAACAATGGAGGCGGCAGAGGGAAGCCCAAGGTCAAGGCGGCCGCTGTCGCCGCCGCGGGGGCCCCGTCACCCCCCCACCGTGTCACCCCCAGTGTCACCCCCTGTTTCACCCCGTTTTGGGGGTCCCCACGGCTCGTCCCGGCTGTCACCGAGGTGCCACTGGCTCAAGGTCACAAGTGCTGACGGTGACACCGAGCACCGGCTGGGGGGAGTGCGGGGGGGGACACCGGGACCATCCGGGGGCTCCCGTTGTGCTCGGGGGAGCGGCGGCTCCGCGGCCCCAGGGTACGGATGAGGAGGAGGATGGTCGGGATTTACGGCTCGACCCGGGGGGCGGCCCCGGTCCGCCCGGTTTGAGCAGGGTGAGCAGGGCCAAGTGGGGCATCGTGAATATCCCAAAATATCGCCCGGTCGATAAAGACACCGCAACGCCCGTTACGAAACGCCGGGACCGCGGCCAAGGCAAACAGTCCGGAGGGACTGGGGTCGCTCCGGCCCGGTACCGGCGCTCGGCTCGCACGGGGGTCCCCTCGCTGTGACCCCGTTGTCCTCTACGGCACCGGGACGCTGGGGAAGGGCGGCGGCGGCGGAGGAGGGAGGGGTCCCCGCCTCCACCACCCCACTGCCGGTGCCGCCGGGCGCGGGGTCCCGGCGCCGGAACGGAGCTCTCGGGGGGAGCCCGGGACCCCCAAGCCCAGCGCTGCGTAACAGGGGAGAAGCTGCGGGACCGGAGCCCCCAACGGGGGCTGCCCGGGGGGCGGGGGCTCCCCCGGGGCTGAGACAGAGGCGAAGCCCCCCGAGCACGAACCGGGCCCGGAGCCCCCCGGCCACTCCCGATGCCCCCGGCTCTGAGAAGGCCGCGGAAGGAGCGCCCGGCGCCGGTTCCCACCACGTGCTGCCGCTCCAGCCCCGCGCCCACCCCGATCCCGGTGGAGATCCCGATCCCACTCGCCATCCCCATCGCCCCGCTCCCATCCCCCACCTCCTCCGCCAACACCGCGCGGCCCCTTTAAGGCAGCGCCCCCCGCGTCGCCCCTTTAAGAACCGGACCCCCCCCACCCCGCTCTCCCTTCCCCCCGCGGCGTCGCCCCTTTAAGGCGCGGCGAGGCCGGGCCGGGCGCGCTCACCTTGGGCCCGCGGAGGCGCGCGGCCGCCCGGCTGCCGGCGGCGAGGAGCGTCATGGCGGTACCGGGACGGGACAGGCCGGGACTGAACGGGGCCGGGTCCGGGAGCGGGGCCGGGACCGGGAGCGGGACCGGGGCGGGAGCGGGGCCGGAGCGGCGGCGGCCGGGGGTCCTCAACGTGAGGGCGGGGCGGAGCGCGGCGCTGGTCATTAGCATAACCCCGCCCCCTCCCGGGGCAGAGCCATTTGCTACTGGCCAAGTGGCGCGCCGTGGGGCGGGGCCACGCTAATGTAGTGGCGGGGGGCGCGAGCCATAGGTGGCCGCCGCATTCGCCTGATCAGGAGCAAGGGTGGGGTGAGGGGGTGCCCGCCCCGTCTCGTGACGTCACCGGCCGCAGTGCGTGACGTCATGGCCCGGTGGCATCCCCGCGGCCGCGCCGGTGTCTCGGTGGGGTTCGGCTGCGGGGGTGGGGGGGGCAGCCCCGTGACGTCACCAGGCGCTCGGCCGGGCGGTATGAGGTCACCTGAGCCCATGACGTCATCCTGCATGTAGCCACAATGGCCTGAGGTGATAGGCTGTGGTATGACCCTGGTGACGTCAGGTGTCACCATCCCCGCTGAGCCCAGGGCATTGTCCTACTGGCCCCGGTGCAACGGGTGACACAATGGGGTGACACAGGGTGATGGGTGCCACAAGAGGGGCAGAGCCCTCCTGCACCTCCTGCACCCTGGCCAGGTGACATGGGGAGACACCGGCCACGGCAGAGAGGCCAGAACCCTCACAGAGCCCTCGTAGTGGCGGGGTGGAATGACACAGGGTGGCAGCTGAGAGCCAGAAGCCCCATGGTGGGGTGACATGGGGTGACCAGCTGAGGGGCCAGACCCCCATGGTGCTCCCACAGTGGCAGGGCTGGGTGACTTGGGGTGACACAGAGTGACACAGTGCCATGGGCTGTCCCTGCCCCACAGCTGAGCCACGAAGGGTGAACACTGCCCTCGAGGGAGCTCAAGCTGCTGGGCACATGTGGGGACACTGCTGTCCCCACCCCACATGCACACCAGACCAGAGGTGCCCTCGGGTGGGCCCACGGCCCCTTTATTGCCTGCAGCAGGGAGGGGGGTCCCCAAACCTCCCCCCCCGGGGGGCTGAGCCCTGGTGTCTCCCCCGTGTCCCCCGGTAGTGGGGCAGGAATGTCCCTGAAATGTCCTGGCAGGAGCGAGGACGTGGCCCCGGCCCCGTGGCCGTCCCGGTGCCCCCGGACGGGGAATAAATAGGACGGGAGCTCTGCATGGGGCGAGGCGGCGGCTCCGGAGCCGTGGAGGTCCCGGCAGATCCGTCTGTCCCGGGGACATCCCGGTGGGTCCCGGGGACATCCCGGTGGGCCCTGGGGACATCCCGGTGGGTCCCGGCACTGTCCCGGTCCCTGCTCCAGAGGCAGTCACAGCTCGTCGTGTGGGATGTGGAGAGCATGGTCACACAGGTCTGCGGGGACAAAGGGCGACAATGAGGGTGTGGTGGAGCCCGATGGAACTTTTGGGATGTGCTGGAGCCCCATGAGACCCCTAGGACATGGCAGTCCTGTGGGATCCTCCATGGTGGAGCTCCATGGGACCCTCAGGATGTGACAGCCCTGTGAGACCACCAAGATGTCTCAGAGCCCCATGGGACCCTCAAGATGCACCAGGCTCCCACGAGCCCTGTGGGACCCTTGGGTCACATCAGAGCCCTGTGGGACCCTGAGGATGCACCGGACCCCCCATAAGACCCCCAGAATATGACAGCCCTGTGGGACCCTCAGGACACATCAGAGCCCCGTGGGACTCTCTGTGCTGCCCCGTCCCCTCCCTGCTGTGACCCGAGCCAGACCAGCAGCATTTCCCTGCCTTTGTCCTGTGGTTAATGACAAACAAGCCTGGCCTGGCCCTGCTCACGCTGCCAGATGCAGGAGGAGCCCCAGGAGCAGCTGTTGAGACCCTCAGGATCCCCTGGGGCAGAGCACAGATGGCTGTGCCAGGTACAAAGGGACCTGCCCTGGCCCTATCCTGGGCCCTGTCCAGGACTGCAGTGGCCCAAAGGTCACATCGTGCCCTGACCTAGGTGTTTGTGAGCTGGAAATAGCCCCAGAAAGGGGACAGAGCCATTGGATGAGCCAGGAGAGGCCACACAGTCAGCACAGCAGCTGCCCTGGCTCGGCCCCAGTATCCCAAAAAAACCCCAGTGCCAGCAGAGTCCGGGCATTGGGCTGCAACAGCGTGCTGGGATTCGGGGAAGGACTTGCAGCTCCTCCCTGCTCTGGGCTGGCAGCAAATCCCATCCCAGCACCAATAGAGCAGCCACAACCCCTGGAAGAGCAGAAGAGACTCCCAGGGACAGCCCCAGCTCTGGGCCAGGTATCTCCTCCCATCCCAGCACTGATGGAGCAGGAGAGACCCCCAGAACAATCCCTGCTCTGGGCTGGCAGCAAATCCCATCCAACACCAATGGAGCAGATACAGCCCCTGGAACAGCAGGAGAAACTCCCTGGAACTGCAGGAAAGATCCCCAGGGACAGCCCCTGCTCTGGGTCAGTATCTCCTCACATCGCAGTGCTGACAGAGCAGGAGAGACCCCTGGAAGAGCAGGAGAAACCCCCTGGGACAGCAGCAAAGATCCCCAGGGACAGCCCCTGCTCTGGGCTAGCATCTCCTTCCAGCCCAGCACCAACAGAGCAGGAGGGACCCTTGGAAGAGCAGGAGAGACCTCTGGGACAGCCCCTGCTCTGGGCTGGCATCTCATCTCATCAGAGCAGCCATGACCCCAGGAGCAGCAGCAGAGCCCCCCAGACCCCCGGCTCACCCGTCCTCTTGCTGCAGAGCCGGTCCTTGACGTTCTCAGTCTCGTGTGAGAGAAACTCGATGAGTTCATCCTCGTATTCCTCAGCGATGCTCTCGCACTGCAACGGGACACGGCACCGGTGACACCCAGCCCACAGGAGCCCCTGGGCCACCCACACCCCCCAGCACTCCCCTGTCCCCTTCACACACCGCGAATTTCAGGCTGGAGGTCACATCCCCGTCGAATTTGACACCGGAAAGGTCCATCTTGGTGCCGTCCTGGGAGATGACCCGGACGTAGCTCTTGCGGTGCGTGGCCGGATCCACCTTCTCGCCGTACTCCTTCATCTTCTCGCACACCCGCTCCAGCAGCTCCGTCAGGTGCGCCTCAGACCGTGCATACGGCACCTGCAGCCCCGGGGAGGGGTCAGCGGGGTCCCGGCAGCGGGACGGAGAGCGGGGACACCGGGACAGGCCTCACCTCCACCACCGACTGGCTGCCGTCAGGGTTGATGCGGAACGAGCCCATCTGGATGGTTTTTCTGGGATCCACCTGGGCAATCTCCCACTCCAGCTCATCCACCAGCGCCCGGCAGGCTGTGGGGGACATGGGAGACCTGGCACATGCACTCCTGTGCCAGGAGCCAGACTGGTGTGACTGGTGTGACTGGGATGGAGGGTGTGCAGGGAGGGGTGCCCACGGCACCCTGGAGACCCTCAGCCTGTCCCTGAGCAGAGTGGGCTGGTCCCAGTGGACACCACCAAGCCCTGTGCCACCCTGGCCTGTGCGCCTGTCCTGTCTTGCTGTCTCCTCTGTCCCTGTTCAGCCCTGTCTCCCCATTTCATCCTGTTCCCCTGTCCTATCCTTGCCTTCCTTTTCCCCGATTTCACACCCTACCCACCTTGTCCCCCTGTCCTGTCCCATCCCATTTGGCCCCGCGTGTCCCACACCGTCCCCCACGTGTCCCCCCGCACCTCCGCAGTGCAGGTCCTGGCTCCGGCGTGCTCCGGCCGTGGGCAGCAGCGATGCCAAGGCCAGGGCCAGGCCGAGCAGGGCCAGGATCCGGTCCCGCATCCTCAGGGCTCCGCAGATTCCCGGGATCCGGCCCCGCATGCTCAGGGCTCCGCTGTCACCTGCGGACACGGGGCAGCTCCAGCGCTGCTGGCTCCGCTGTCCCCACACCTGGTCTCACCCAAGGGCCATCCCTGCCCGGCCCCTCCGGGATCCCGTTCCCTGCACAGCCCGGCTCTCCCTAGGGCTTCATCCACGGCGTTCCCCTTCCCGGTCCGCTCTGAGTCCCGTTAGTGCTTCCGGAAACCACAGAGCCCCTTCCCCTATAAAGCAGAGCCCAGAGCCCCACAGAGCCCCCTCCCCTATAGGGCAGAGTCCCCACAGAGATTCCTTCACTATGGGGCAGACCCCATAGCCCCCACAGAGCCCCTTGCCCTATAGCACAGAGTCAGAGCCCCACAGAGCCCCTTGCCCTATAGGGCAGAGTCCAGAGCCCCCATAGATTTCTTCACTATGGGGCAGAGTCCAGAGCCCCACACAACCCCCTCCCCTATAGAGCAGAGCCTAGAACTCCCACAGCTCTTCCTCCACAGACCAGAGCCCCCTCCTCTCTGGGTTCCCTCACAGCCCCCTGTGGAGCCTTTTGCCTCCAGGGCCGAGCCCATCGCCTCGCCCGAAGCCCTCTCGTCACAAGCCCAGCCGAGACCCCCGGTCCGCGCCCCTCATCCCGAGCCGCGGGCCCGGCCGAGCTCCCCTCATGCTGCGCCCCCCGTACCGGCCGCTCTCCCGTCCCGCTCCCACCGCCCCTCACACGGACCGGCTGCCCCGGGACTGCCCGTGGCGCTGCCGGTCGCGGCGCGCCCCCCCGGCCCACACCGCCGCGGGACACGGCCGCTCGGAGCGGGCGACAGCCGAGCCGGGCCGGGCAGCGGAGCCGGTCGGACCGGTCAGATCAGCAGGGGCGGCTCCTCGGGCCGCGGCGGCGCCGTCCCGCGAGCAGGCGGCGCCGCGGGCAGCCCGGGGCGGGCGCCGAGGGCCCCGCCGTTGCCAGGGCCCGGCCGCGTGGCGCTCGCCCGCGAGTGGGCGGGGTCCGGTGTGACTCCGCCCACTAGGTCGGCCTGGCCACGCCCCCGCCCCGGCTCAGCTGCGTCCTGGGACCGGTCCGAGACCGGGTCCGGGTCCGGGTCCGGGTCCGTCCTGCCGTCCTCCTGGTCTGAGTCCCGGACCGAGACCGTGTCCGGGTCCGTCCCGCCGTGCCCCCGGTCTGAGCCCCGAACCGAGACCGGGTGCGGGTCCGTCCTGCCGTCCTCCTGGTCTGAGTTCCGGACCGAGACTGGGTCCGAGTCCGTCCCGTCGTGCCCCCGGTCTGAGCCCCGGACCGAGATTGGGTCAGGGTCCGTCCCCCTGTGCTCTCGGTCTGGGTCCGGGACCGAGTCTGGGCCGGGTCCGTCCTGCCGTGCCCCGGTGCCGGTCCCGTTCCGAGCCCGGTCCCAAATCTTTCCCGCCGTGTCCCCGGAGCCAGCCCCGGACTGGCTCTTCTGCACCATGTCCCTGCTCCCAGCCCCGGTCCCGGTTATTCCCGCCCTGTCCCGGTTGTCAACCCCGCTCCTTCTCGCTCTGTGCCCGATCCGGGACCTTCCCGTCTTGTCCCGGTCCCGGTCCGGCTCCTCCGTGCCGTGTTCCCGGCCACAGCCCCGATCCTTTCTGCAGTGCCTCAGTCCCGGTACCGCCGTGTCGCCGGTGCCAGTGGCGGTATGAGCCCGGGTCCTTCCCGCCGTGCCCCCGGTCCCGGTCCCGCCCCCCGGAGCCAAGGAGGACACGGTCTCACGGGGGTCCGAGGCTGCTTTATGGGGGCGCCCGGGCCGGCGGGCGAGCGGGGCTGGGGGAGGGCAGTGCTTCCCGGTACCGGCAGGGAAAGGGGAGCCCCGGGGCGCCGGGCCCGGGGCGGGGGTCGGGCGGGTCGGGGACAGCCCCGGCCCCGCTGCTGGTTCCAGTTCCACGCGCGTCCGCCTCTCCCGGCGCTGCTCCTCGCGGGGGCTCCGGTCACAGCGCCAGCACGGGGGGGAACACGGCCCCGTCTGCGGGGACAGCGCGGGGTGAGAGGGGACACGGCCGGGGGACAGGGGACACGGGGAGGGGGACAGGGGACACGGTAGGGTGAGAGGGGACACGGCCGGGGGACAGGGGACACGGGGAGGGGGACAGGGGACACGGTAGGGTGAGAGGGGACACGGCCGGGGGACAGGGGACACGGGGAGGGGGACAGGGGACACGGTAGGGTGAGAGGGGACACGGCCGGGGGACAGGGGACACGGGGAGGGGGACACGGGGAGGGGAGAGGAGACACAGAGAGAGGACACATCAGAGGAGCGGGGACACAATGGGGGGATAGGGGACACGGGGAAGGGAGACGGGACACGGCGAGGGGACAGGGGACACGGCAGGGTGAGAGGGGACACGGTCGGGGGAGAGGGGACACGGCGGGGACATAGCAGAGGAGAGGGGACACAGTGGGGGGAGAAGGGACAGGGAGAGAAGGCAGCGGCCATGGGGGAACACGGCCCCATCTGCGGGGACACCGCGGGGTGAGAAGGAACACGGCGCAGGAGAGGGGACACAGGGAGGGGGCGGCGGTGACATCTTACGCTTGGGGCTGCTCTGGCTGTCGGGCTCGGGCACCTTCCAGTCCAGCTTGCGGCCCTTCTCGTAGAGCCCCTTGAGCACCTTCCGGAACTCCTCGGGCTCCGAGCCCTGCGGGCTCAGCTCCAGGTACTTGCGATAGAGCTGCAGCGCCGTCCGCGCGTCCTCGATGCTGTCGTGGGTCTCCCCCTGGATCTTCAGGTCTGCGGGGACAGCCCTCGCTCAGCGCCGGGACCCTCGGGAGGTTCCGCCCCTTCCCGGATCCGAGAGTTCGGCTACTGACCCAGGAAGTACCAGGCGAGGAAGCGCAGGGAGATCATCCTCTTCCTCGGGATGTGGAACAGGTACACGGTGTCGATCACCTGGTCCTTGGGCACCTGGGGAGGGGACAGAGTCCTGCTGCCGGGGCAGGGGGGCAGGGACCCGACCTGACCCCTCCCAGCCCCACTCCAGCCCCCCACCGTGGCCAGGGAGGGGGCTCAGGCTGTCACCATCAGGTTGATGACACGGAAATCCTTCTGCAGCCCGTGACCCACGAACTTGACGCCCACGTCGATGAGGAAACGCAGCTTCAGGTAAGTGGATTTGAGGGTGGTCAGGTGCTTGGAGGAGATCTTGGCATCCAGGTCTCCTGGCTTGATCCCGGAGTACTGGGTCAGGTAATCCACCACCTGCAGAGACCAGAGCACCTGGAGGGGGCTGGCAGGCCCCAGGGGCTCTGCCCCCTCCCCAGTTCCCCTGTCAGCACCCTGGGGAGGGGGCTGGTGTTGCAGGACCAGGTGACCTTGGAGCACAGAGGTGTCCAGGTGAGGACATGGGAGTCCAGGTGAGGTGACCACGGAGGACACATGAGTCCATGGGGAACACCCAGGTAGTCCAGGGGGAACACCTGGGTGTCCATGGGGAACACCTGGGTGTCTTGAGTGAGGTCACCATGGAGAATACAGGAGTCCAGGTAAGGTCACCAAAAGGGACAAAGGAGTCCATGGGGAGCACCCAGGTGTGCAGGTGAGGTCACCGTGGAGAACACCCAGGTGTCCATATGAGGTCACCGTGGAGAACACCCAGGTGCCCATGTGAGGTCACCGTGGAGAACACCCAGGTGCCCATGTGAGGTCACCATGGAGAACACCCAGGTGCCCATGTGAGGTCACCATGGAGAACACCCAGGTGTCCATGTGAGGTCACCGTGGAGAACACCCAGGTGTCCATGTGAGGTCACCATGGAGAACACCCAGGTGCCCAGGTGAGGTCACCATGGAGAACACAGGTCCATGTCCTTCCTGGGGCCTTGGGGAGCTGCATGAGGCCAGGTGTGCACCCCATACCTGCTCCTGGGTGGAGATGTAGTCATCGATGAAGGGGACGCCCTCGTTGGGGCCCTGCCCACGCACGCAGGTGATCCGGGCCACCGACATCTGGCTGGGCTTGATGGTGGACTTGGTGCCATCACTGCGCAGCTCGGCCTCCTCCTGCGACCAGGGACAGGACACGTGGTGACCAACAGCCCCAGAGGGGATCCCTGTGCCCTGTCCCCGCCCTGTCCCCACACCTCATTCAGCGTGACGAACTCGGCGTCCAGCCCCACCAGATCTCCCGCCTGGGGCATCTCGTTCAGCATGAGGGGGATGAAGGTGGCGTGGCACTTGCGCTGCTTGCGGGCCAGCGAGGCCTCAGCCAGGAGGACACTGGCCTCGATGGGGTTCTTGACTGTGCAGGGAAAGGGGAAGGAGCTCAGCGGCGCTGCGGTGGCGCCGGCCCCGCCGCCACTTCCACGCCGGGCACTCACTGACGAGGTTGTACTTGGAGTTGAGGTTCCTCCGGGCGTAGTAGAGGATGGCTGGCACCTTCCAGCTCATGTCAAACTGCACGGCCTCGCACTGCAGGGGAGGGGGGGGATGCTCAGGGGCAGCCCGGGGGGCTCCACGGGCTGGTCACGGTGTCACCTCGGTGCTCACCTTGTCCACGGGCTCGATGAGGAAATCGTTGAAGAGGTACCACTGCTGGTGTGTGACTCCCTGGGGGGAAAGGCACAGCCTTAGGGACACCCCCAGGCCAGAGCAGTGACTCCTCTGCCCAGTTACCAGGGAAAGGAGGGTGTGACAATGCCATGTGGGAACCCCCGCCCTTCCTGGGACACCGTGGGGAAATCCCTGCTGCCCTGGGTGGTGACAGGACGTGAAAGGATTGGACTGGACGGGCTCCGGGCTCTGCCCAGCTCCTGAGCAAAACTCCAGGGAGATGCAAGAGATAAGAGACAGGGACAGAGCCTTGACACACTCTGGGAACTCCTGGCTTGGGCATCTCCAGCAGAAACCAGGACTGCCCAGACCAGCCCTTTCCTCGGGAAGGGAGATGACGTCCCTGCCCTTACCTGGAAGTACAAGGACAAGCTGGCACCGTGCCCGTGGCCAGGAGGAACCAGCCTGAGTGGGTGTGGGAAGAGGGTTTCTTCAGCCCTTCCCTCCCCGTGAGGGGCCCCAGCAGGTCTTGGCACGTTCAGCCGAACACTCAACACTCGGCTGAGAGAGCCAGGAACGATGGATCCCGTGGGTGAGACCCCCTCGGGGAGGCTCCTGGGAGCCAGTGGGGACCGTGGGGGTCCTGCAGGGTCTCACCTCCTTCCTCTGGTGGTAGGTCTCTCCCACCTTGATGTGCCCAACCAGGCTGCCCCCAGTGCGGGAATCCAGGATGTGGACGACGGTGGCCATGAGGTCGTAGATGTAAACGGACTCGGGGTCATCCGTGGGGCTCAGCTGTGGGGAGGAACCAGGAACGTCTGAGCCCCCAGACCACCAGCCTGGACATTTCTGTGCTCCTCTGAGTTATCTCCTCTCAGCAGAAAGTGGTTCTGAGGCAGCTCTTCCCCCACGGTGATTCTGTCACCTCGCCCATGGTGATTCTGTCACTTTTACCTCATCGGTCTCGCTCCAGTTGCTCACGTCGAGCTCTTTGCTCTTGGTCAACCTCATCTTGATGGCGTGAGGGATCCAAATGTTCTTCAGTTCCTCCACAGAAGGATATGAATGCCCTGTGTCAGGGTTCCCCAGATCCTTCCTGCACAGGGAATCATGGAAAGCTGAGTTGGAAGGAGATGTCACCCAGGCCAGGACTCCCACCCACCTGCTCCCCAGCTGATTCCCAAAATTTCTGTGGGAAGCTGGAGCTGCCTAGAGCAGGATTCTGGGAGAGGTGCTCAGCCAGTGTGGTTTTTGGGGTTTTTGTCAGTTAGAAAAGGGGCACGAGGTTAGGGGGCTCAAAAAGGGGTCACGAGGTGGGTGACAAAGGGGATGTGGTGCAGCCTCACACAGGCAGGGTATCAAATTAACATAATTTAGATGAGAAATAGCCCAGAGAAACACCCAGGAGGTGTCACTGCTAAGAGGCACCACCCCAGGAACAGAATCCCAGAATCCTTGAGGTTGGAAAAGCTTTCCAAGATCATCAAATCCAACCTCTGGCCAATCCCCACCTTGTCACCCAGACCACAGTGCCACATCCAGTCATTCCTTGGCCACTTCCAGGGGTGGTGACTCCACCACTTCCCTGGGCAGGTCCAAACTCTTTCCATGAAGAAATTCCTCCTGAATTTCTACCTACCACTCTCCAAGAGAGATCTCCTTTCCCTTGGTGATGTCAAAGCCTCCTCTCTTCATCATGGCTTTCTGAAAGGAATACTGGCAACGAAACACAGGCAAGCATCAGCACATGGTGACAGGCCAGCCCTGGGGACACGTGGCTGACAGCCAGGCCAGGACCAGGGAAAAGACAGGGATATTAAAGTTGGTGACAGGGAAAAAGCAATGGAAACCCAAGGTCACTGCCTTGGTGCTCTTGGGAGGCTGGGGGAAGGACAAAGTGACTCCTGCAGTCCCTTCAGCTCTGCCACACCAGGAGATCTCGTCTTTTCCAACTCCAAAGGCACAGACCATGCCACAGGCATGACCCAATTGCAGCAGGTCCTCTGCAAGCACGGCTCAGGTGGAGGGAGAGAGGCCAGAGACAGCGAGAGCAGAGTGAAAACCTCGGCGGGGCCGGGAGAACCGACCCCGGAGTGTCTCCCCCACCTCAGCCTGTGTCTTCCTTGGAGCTGTTCACCTCACAGTTAATGACCAGCACGTCTGGCAGGCAGCGGATGTTCCGGGTCTGCACCTGCAGGGAGAGGGGGAGATGGAAATGAGAGCCCTGGAGAGGCTCCCAGCAGGATTTAGGACATCTGTCAACGCCTCGGCCTGCAGAGCTTCCTCCTCTCCCTGGCTGCAGGCATTCCCAGGACAACAGGGCTGCTCCAGCAGTTCCTGGGGGGTTGTTTTTCCCTGCTGAATCCTTGCCCCTGTGAGAGGAATGCACAGAGCCCAGGAAATACCCCAGGGCTGCCAGCCGAGCCAGGAACCGAATCTCGGGCATGGGCTGAGGAGGTTCCCCGGTGACTCACGGACAAACTGCCCCCCTCACACCCGTGTCCCACAGCCCCTCGTGCCTGACCCCCCTCCCAGGCTCACCGTGGGCTGGTACTTCTCACAGTTCTCACACCAGGCTTGTGTGTTCTGCTCCAAGCAGATGCTGCGCTTTAAAATTTGGGCGAACTCGTAATCCTTGGCTGGTTTTTCTGGAGGGAGAAAGGAGAATAACATCACCTCCTCAACACACAAATCTTGACCAGCTGAGCTCAGCCAAACCTCTGGGGTTTTCCTTGCAACCACCAACCAGAAGGTCAAGCCCCAAATGTGTCTTTCTGAAGCCGAAAGCTTGGCTGGTTGGAAACCCACCCCTGGGTGCCCTGCTGAGGCAGCTCCTGGCTGCGGGTGTGTTCCAGCTGGAAAAACCATGGATAACAAACCCCACCCAGCTGGGGGGGCTGGGCTCTGCTGTTACCAGTGCTGTCAGGGTAGGAGAGGGTGAAGAGCAGCGTGGAGGACACACGGACAGTCTCCTTCCCACAGCGGCACATGCTGCAGTTCTCCATCTCACAGCTGAACAGCTGCCCGATGACAGAGTCCCCCGAGGAGCCAAAGCTGCTGGAAAAACAGCACTGGGATCAGCAGAGATCCCTAAGCTGGGGACACACAGCTCAGGCTGCACAGGGCCAGCTCCCAAATTCCAGCAGATTTTCGGGGAATCTGAGCAGTGCCAGCGTTCCTCTGGAAGCTCAGCTGGTGGCCTCTGTAAAGCCTCAAGCCCCCAGACAGGTTTTAGGGGGGGGCAGAGGCTCAGCACAGGGTTAAAACATGGGGGAAGCTGCATTTCCCTCAGAGCATGAGTGGCAAGAAAGCTTCTCGAGGGATGGGTGGGGTCTGTGGGGACCAGCCCCCTGCCCAGCTGGGTCATTCCCTGTCCCACCCCCGTGCCAGGGCCTCACCTGCTGCCAGCCCCTCGGTAGGCCTGGGGTCCCTCCTGCTCCTGGGTTTCCTGGTGCAGCTGAGTCAGGATGAAACGGTTCCAGCTCTGAATCAGCCTCCCCAGGTTCACCTTCCCTGTGGCTTCGTCCGAGTCTGCCAGGATCAAGCCCAGCGCTGACGCCTCCGGGATTGTGCGGAAAGCCCGCAGAAAATTGCTTCCCTGGGCATGGGGCAAGAGCAACAAGCCACTGAGGTCAACAGGAGTTTCCATCTGCCTGCCCAGCACCACTCCCGCTCCTCTGCTGTCCCCATGACCCTCCTGGGCAGCCCAGCCCAGCACAGACCTGGCAGGGGTCTCCTCGGGACAGGTCCAGCATGTGGAAGAGCAAGCCCAGCTCGCAGCCCAGGCAGAATTCCTTCTGGCACAGGTGGTTCTGCACCAGGCAGCGGACTGGCTCCAGGAAATACAGCACCTGGCAGAGACCCTGCAAGTCAGGGGGGCTCTGGGAGTGACTCACAGGAGTCTGGGTGGGACTGGGGCAGCTCCCACCTGGATCATGCAGTTGCAGTAGGCATTGGGAATGTGGGGCTCCAGCCCTGCAAACAGCGTCTTGTTGTAATGCTTGAAGTCAAAATCCTCCAGCCCCAGCTTGGAGTATTTGATGGTGACCTGAGCAAAGATGTGAGAGGTGAAACAAACACCTCCCCACGCCATGGGACCCCTGTGGGACCCCCAGTGCTCCCCACCGTGCCCCAGAGCAGCCCCCCAAGGTCATCACCTTCCTGTACTTCTTGGCCACCCTGTAGAGATGTGGCTCCTCCTCACGCCCGATGGGGGACTCGGGGACTTGGCTGAAGTTGTCAAACTCGTTGTCCATCTCCTTTAACCGATAAGGAATCTTGGAGCAGGGAGAGACAAGGGGTGAGCAGCTGAACCCTGAGGCGGGGAGAAGCCCCACAAGCAACTCCTGGGCTTTCCTGCCTCCATGAATGAGCAAAGGGATCCACCAGAGCAGAGTGGGGCCCTCCCTGGACCTGCACGAGGCCTCTACACCTTCCTGCTCGCAGGGATTTGTCACTGTGGGAAAGCACAGGGCAGTGTTTTCCCAAGGGTGAGGGACGTGCCATGAACCTCTCAACCTGACAGCTCAGCCCTTCCCTGCCCACAGAGCCACAGAGGGATGGAACTGGGAAAACTCCATCCCTTTCCTGCTCAGGAGAAGCTGCCACCTCCAAACTACACCTGCACCATCCCGAGGGGAAATTCCACCTCTTGTCCCCATCCCTGAAACCTCGGGGATCCCTCAGCACACAGAGAGCTCTGTCCCTTCCCAGGCTGCAGAGCTCCACCCTCCCAAAATCCCCTCCTGGTACCTGGTTACGGAGCTTGGTCCTGGGGTTTGGGGCGTAGCCAATGAATCCCACTTTCTTCATGGTGCGCAGAATCTCGGGATCCACCGGGGGGGCTCTCCTGGAAACACCCCCTGACTCAGGGCAGCATCTCTCACCCATGCAGGGAGTCCTCAGGGACACACCCCGAGCGTGGTCCTGAGTGTTGCCCCCTCCTCAGCCCCTCCCCAGGTTCATTTCCATCCCAGGACATTGTAGGACAGCACTGAGCACAGGGGTGTTGAGGGTGGGAAGAGGGAAAAGGAGATTCCACATGGGCACAGCAGAGCCAGGATCCCACTGGGAGTGGGAAGGAGGGAGGTTGGACCATGTCCCACCATCCTCACACCCACCCAGTCACACCTCCACTGCAGGAAACTCAGCTGGGGCAAGCAGGAATGATGCTCAGGATTTAGCTTTTGTGTTTTTCAGATCCTGTGCTGCTTGAGTGTAGAACTCTAAAACTCCTCAGCCTGTCAGCTGCTGTTCTCCCATTTTATTCAGACAAAACAATTCCTCTCTAGGCCTGAAACTCAAGGACACCTCAAGCCCCCAGAGATGTAAACAGCAGTGAATTGAGGGGGGAAAACTGGGAGTAAATGACTCCATTACCTGAACTGTAATTGGAGGAATAACCCCTGATATGTAAATAGACCAAACTTATGAAAGGAGACTCAGGGGTGACCTTATCACTCTCTACAACTTCCTGAAAGGTAGTTGTAGTCAGGTGGGGGTTGGTCTCTTTCACCAGGCAACCACTATGAATGAGAGGACACAGTCTGAAGCTGCATCAAGGGAAAGTTAGGTTGGATATTAAAAAAAAAATTTTTCACTGAAAGAGTGATCAAATACTGGAATGGTCTGCCCGGGGAGGTGGTGGAGTCACCATCCCTGGAAGTGTTTAAAAAAAGACTGGATGTGGCACTCAGTGCCATGGTGTAGTTGAGGTGTTAGGACATGGCTTGGACTCCACGATCTTGAAGTTCTCTTCCAACCCAAACTCCTGTGAATCCTGTGAAAAACTCATGACCATCATCCACCTTGGCTGCAGCCTCCGGGAGGCTTTTGACTGCCCACGGTGCATCTACTGAAGACCTTCAACAAACACCTGCTTCATTCTCTTTTTAGGCAGCCACTCAAGACATCAGAAAAGAGAGAGGCTCCAGCAGGGTCCCCTGCTGTGCGATTGTAGCAGCACTCACCGCGGCGCCGGGGCAGAGTTGGCGGCCGGCCAGTCCGACAGCAGCGCGTCGCTCGTCAGCGGCACCGGGATCAGCGACAGCGGCACCAGGTCCTGGTTCCAGTCCAGGTGTGGCAACGTGTCCACCATGCAGGGCAGGGCAAAGTCGGTCTCCCGGGAGTAGGCGTTGAAGGTGACCTCGGGGGAGTCGGCCCAGAGGTGGACGCAGCCCTCGGAGTCGCCGAAGGCCAGCGCCTGCTTGCTGGCCGACACGTCGAACGTCATGATGAGCGGCCCCACGGTGTTGACGTGGAAGATGTCGGCGGGGTTGGCCAGCCCGGTGGGCTCGCAGAACTGGCACTGGCCTGGGGGGGAAGTGGGAAGGGAAAAGTGGGAGAATGTGGCATGGTGGGAAGAGGGATGTGGTGGCACACATCCGGAAGGGGTTGGACACGGGGCAGCAGCGCTCGGATGATCATCGTGGAATGTCCTGAGTGAGAAGGGATCCACGAGGATCAACGTCCAGCTCCTGGCCCTGTTCCAGGACAAGCCCAAAACCTCCCCAGACCCCAAATCCCAACACCTGAG